TCTTACCCCAAGGCAGAATAATGAAGCCTATCTTGTTCCTGATCCACGTCAACGACCCAGCTTCTTGAGTCACCTTGTGTGCTATTTACGGATGACCTAAAGCCTTGGTGAGTAACTGATGCTCCCAGTGACTGCAAAGTACTTCTGCATAATATCGAGTGCCTTTCCATGTGAACGGCAACGGTCCATCTGCTGCTACATAAACTTTTTCACTTTTTCCCATGTTGTTCTTTTCGTGCAGTCGCCTCCTTTGTGAATGCTGCCAATCAAGTCAGTCAGGTTGTTATTTGTTAGCCTGGAGAACGGTATGCTGGGCTTGGGTACAATCCGGCCTGTCAACTGCTCCACACCACGATTTGAAGTCAGTGGACAACGTGAACAGGTTATACCGAAACGGATTACTCATAATTTGGGTACACAAACGCAGCTCCTGAACTTGGGCTGATCACATCACCACTCGTCTCTTCTCTTCTATGAGAAGGTCATTGCTAAAGTGCGGCTCACCCACCGATTGTCCGATCACACTTGGTGACGTACAGAGACTGGGATGTGTTACGAGGTAGGTTGCTCGGAGACCGGTGCACGAGACAAGGGATGTACACCGTCTCGTTTCATTGGTTTCGAATTTACACCATAAGGACACACTGGATATTGTATCTGAATGACCCCTATGTTAGCGTCCCTTCTGCTCGTGTGCGCAGCAAGCAGCATTCGCGGATACTGGCACAAGCTCGCAGTGCCGAGGCTGAATCGCACAGCTCGACTTCTATGCTTCGAACGTTTAGTGGTGAACTACGGAAACAATTTGCCAGGGACAATAGTCGAGGAAAAAACGTGTCGGAATTCAGGAAAGCTTAGACGCCAAGTTGCGGATTACAAATTTGGACAGCGCGTCGCACCTGAATAGGACGCTGCACAACCGATATGTGATGAATATGTAGTCAATGAATGACGTCACTGCGTTTGCCAGCCTGACAATATTTCGATGAAATAACACAGAAGTATTCCTGCTATTTTGTGAAGGTTCATCTTAGTTAGATCCAAGCGGACAGGCACCACACATACAGGAAAGCGCTAGATGACCGGTTCATCCTATTAAGACTCGTCAGTAGCGCTCACTCGCCGAATCCTGCCGGATGCGAACCCATGACCTTACACTCGCGAGCCCGCAAAATATGCTACTGATCCATAGGCAACGGCAGTGGACCAGCATGACTGATATCTAGCTGCGATATAGCCCGGCTCATCTTCCCCTGTCATGTATGTTTCGAGCGGGCAGAGGACAGGTCTAGCCCCCGGGGACACGACTTCCTTTGCAAGCCACCACCAATCGAGATGTAAGCCGCTAAGGCCACTACTGATTATTTGTATGCAGGAAGGTGGGTCATATTGACGAGTCTCAATAGGGTGAAACTGCCATCTAGAGCTTTCCCGAATGTGCGGTGGCTGTCTTCCTGAGTTTAACTGAGACGATTATTCACAAATTACCCCATAAGTCCCACTACTACTTACAAGTATGTCTGCTAACGCTAATTTCGGTATTCAGTACTCATTTGTTGTAATTGGTTATCGCGAACTACTGACTGTAGTGCGATTCACTAGACTAGTGTGTGAATAAATGTGTGTGTTATTAAGCGAACCAGTTTCTGCAGAATTAGCAGCTGAATTCACAGCCCTGTACTAATGATATCCCGGTAGAAATCAACAAAGTTGCCAAACTCGCCACACGAACATGCACCTGGTATCGCTGCCGCTGGCTGCGCAGTCATCCTCAGAAACGACAATCATGCTCAGACAATTTGTAGCAAATGCCAAAAGCGTGGGCATTTGACCGTTATGTACTGGTCCATTACAAACTCACATTCCCCGATAGTAAACAGCCAACTTATTACTATCGAATCCTAGGAATATATACTATATACAACTACCCCACACGCACAACCAACTTTTTCACACACAACTTGGTGTTAAGAGAATTCCAGTACACTTTGAACCTGACACGGGCAGTACAGTAACACTGAGCAACGAACGAACTTGGTCAGTAAGATTGGTGCCAATGAGCTGCACCAAATTTTGTCGGACGACCGTGCGATTGCGTGCATACACTGCTGGTGAAGTGGAATATCTAAAGGTGCAGGACGTTGAGACATCCTATGGAGGCTCGACAACCCTGGGAACTAAATACGTCGTATAGGGAGATGACCCAAACTTACTACGTCGCGGCTGGATTAATCAGATTTCGGGTCTACAAATTAACCATCGGTCCTTATCATCGGAGATACAAACGCTGCTCCAGCCATACGTGAGTTTTTGAGACACTAAAAGTAGGAACTTTCACCGGTGGACAAGTTAATATCTAACTTCCACCTGGCACGCAACCACGATTCGCCAAGGCTCGGTAATTGACCTATATGAGGCGATCGAAGGTAGAAGATGAACTGCATGGCCTGTAGCAGAGTGACGTCCTAGAGCCAGTACAGTTTTCGGATTGGGCCACACCAATTGTTCCAGTACCCAAGCATGATGAATTGATTCGCATCTGTAGTGACGACAAAACTACCGTCAGTTGCAGTATTCCGGCTGAAAAACACCCCACTCTTAAAAATTGTGTTCAAGTTACCCACTAGCCAACTGCTTAAGCCACTGAGCCATGGGGACGTTGGCCGAACTACATAATTTGCAACCTAACTGGGATATAGCACCACGGTCACTGACAGTGGCTAGCCTGCGAGGTGATAACGTCCTCTGGCTAGACGCTATATCCATAGCATTTGAAACTAGGAGAGGCTATCTATTTTATATGCCTCATGAGTAGCAGGTTTTTAGATGCAACTTTTTAAGGTATATATCCCAGTACTTTACAAGCTACATAGCACCGCCTAGTCCGGAACAGCACCAGACGCGTTTCGCCCTATTTGGGCTCGTCAGTGGTGCGCATTCCCTCGGTCGCCTACTGCGGTGTGAAGGCATGACCGCTAGAGGCAGGTGCCAACTAGCCAGCAGCTTAAGCCACTGGGCCATGGGGGACTAGGCTGTGCTGTGTAGCTTGTGAACTACTGAGACGAAGAGTTTAAAAAATTACATCTAAAATCCTGTCACTCAAGTTGTGAATTTTGCCGAAACCATATTTTTAGTCTTAATCAAGCAAGAAGATTTGTGAGCCGTTGGTCAAATCTCCGTCATTTAAACTAACGTGTCGCATTGTGAGTGAACAACAGTCATGTGCTTTGTGTATATCCCAACAACGATAGTGAACTCAGTGTGAAGTACAAGATCTCTCTCCCATCATTAGGGTTGTCACATTTTAACAAAAAGCATGTTCTCGTTACTCTTGCTACAAGTGATTCGGCACAGCTGATTAGGCCTTTAAATGAGGCAGCACCCGCAAATGTTAAAAGTAGGCGCATATGATTAGGGACCCGGAAGGCGCTTCGACCCACTCACATGATAAAGCTCCAGGCGGAAATTTGAAGTCATCATCCCATGCGCACAATACTAGGGTGCAATAGACATATTCCGTTAATAGCAGGCAAGTGCATACAGCAACCTATCTGTTTACCTGCTGCGTGCGTTAAGGCCCTGGTTGCAACCCACATAGTAACTACTCGAAGCCCTTTGTCGTGACAAAGAGACTGCATAACAAGTGTGTTCCAGGAAATGTGTTAACATATATAATACGGAAGCGGAATCGCAACGAGATAACATCTGTGGCCGAAAATGCAAGCATCTACAAATCCACAATAAATCAGTATTACTCGAAAGGGCTGTGTGTTCTATGCTTAAGCTGAATCAGAAAAACGAAAGCACGAATGGGTAAACGATCGGCGTCCGTCAATGGTTCTGGTATCGGGCCCATGTGCGAAGACTGAGGTTCGTGCAAGTAACACACAAGAAACCCAGTCCCACAAGGGCCACTTGCCAGGTTTGAAGTAAAAACGGCTTGGCATTCAGGCCATGAAAAGAGGTAGAAGGCCGCCTGAATTTTAGTGATCTGTATTTGTCCTCGGTTGGGATCACTGCAGCAAAAATCCGTATTTGTAGGGACGACGCTACACTGTCTTCACCGTATAATTATTGGGAAGGTAGTTGACGCAAAACTGAAATTCTATCCTAGGTAAACGGTCTCACGGCACCAAGGCGAAATTAAGTTGCCGATACATCCAGGCCGCGTGAATCGGGTGACCAAATCAATACTGAACAGTGTGCTTGAGTCAAACTTCACAAACACAGGAGGAATGACAAAAGAACTCCCTCAGCTGACTTCACAAGAGACAGAGGTTCTACTTTTCTTCAATATTGCAAAGAACAGTCAAACCTGTTCATGTTTGGATTAACCGTGTGGAAGCAATTGTAGCCCTGAAACGAATCAGAGACGCCGTGAGTTTCTATCAGACACCTTGTCCCTAGACCACCAGCTTTTGAGACTTACCGCAACGGTTCTGATTTTACCTTTGTGTGTCTGAGTAGTTACGGTGTCGTAGTGTTGAGATATACAGTATTCACCTACTATGATCTTCCTTAAGGTAAAACAGCGTTTTTCCACTCACTGAAACCACACCTAAAGTAGGAACGATGTCTATGTCATTATTCAGACGCAGAGATTCCGAAAGTAAATGTGTACAGCGAGTAACCTATCCAGTTCAGCAATGCGTCAAATCATCGTACAACATCATCAGTAGCCTGCCTATTAAATCGTATGTATACGACTTCACAGATGTGCCGTACGGTTCCTCCACAAATGTTTGTTTCGGCACAGTTTTACCTCCAATTAACCAGATGCGTTGGATACCCCATGTATGATAATCACCAACGTGTTAGCTACTCTACCGGGTCAAGAAACCTTGGTTAATTTAGAAGCAGAGTTAGCGTTAGGTAGAGTTGAATGACGATTTAGCAGATTAAGTCCATCAGAGAACCAGTAGTGGCTGAACGTGCAATTCGGTTGTGAGCCGTTAACCAAGGTCAAGCACTGGTTGTAAGTGTAAGAATTTTTGTCTCACCGGGTGTAGCAAGCGCGCATCGCTTCTGGAGTATGCGACGTGTGCAATTGATCCGTGCCAGATGATAGCCTCGCATACTCTTCAAGACTGGAATTGGCTAAGTTTTTGTAATACGTAGGCGAGATTTCCAGATCGATACAGGCTTGATCAAGCTGGGCGTCTGTCACCAGTGGTCCCACAGTTCGTAGGGGTACATCCTGGTCGCCTGAGGTAAGAGAAACAAGTGAATGTGGGCGTGAACAACTACTGGTAGGTCAGGTTGATGGTGGTTGTTAATGTGCCCACCTATCTGAGCAATTCCGGAAGCGGAAAAGAATGGGGAAGCAGCTTAATGAGCGCTGTTAATGATACTGCTCCGTTACAGACGATCATGAAGGAAGAGTGTAAATTCCTAGTAATAATAACATTACCATCATAACGACAGCAGAAGCTGGATAAAACTAGCAAAACTTTATTACTAAACGATGATGCTGTTCTCGATGCACAGATAGATAAAAGAAGTACCGTGCAATCCTCGGGCTACCAGCCAACCCAGCCAGTTTCGTGATGACACGGACCATGATTAAGGAAATCCGTTTTACATTCAAAGCCGCATGAAAGATGGTGTCCGCTAGTCTAATCACTGGGTGGGATGGAAAAAGAAGTGATGGTTGATAAGACTCAACTATGCTAACGTACCCTCGGGCTTGTAACATGAGTTGAGGATCAGTCTCTCGTTAGTCAGTCCCTCACGATAGTGTGAATGCCAGGGCCGTTTGTTCCTGGGTCATCACACTCCGTCAACCACAAGGTTTTTCTCTTGTCGCCATAAGAAGTATAAGCATCGGTTAAAATGGATCAAAAACCCATAGGTACGGAAGACTCCTACAGTGCTCGAGCAGTTTGCATAGTTCGTCGTCAGGCAGTTACTAGCCATAAACTTCACGAAGCCGATTATTTGGACACTATTATCCAAACGCTTAGAAGCAAAATACACGAGAAGTGTGATGTCTTCAAATAATGACATGCACCGTAGCAGATGAGACGAACAACAGGTGTTCTTGCTCCCTCATTCAGAGGAAGGTGCAGGGTGTGAAACGAATCGAACGAATGTGCTCGTCTACAACACGAGGTGCTCAGGAGCATACATGTGCAATCATGCGCTCTCGCTCACACGCACACACAGAGTCAGCACGTCGGGACCATTAGACAAGCGACATGCAGCCGTGTGCGACGCACCTTTATACCTGCGTGTTCGAGGTTTTAGTATATGTACCAGGCGTCGAAGGCATCTACCCAACTTGTACATGAAACCTTGGGAAGGATAGAAGAAAAGGGGAAATCCAGTGGGATTATTCATGAATTGTGCTAGCTAGAATGTGGGTTTGTTTTAAGAGTTGCTTCCTCAACACCGCAAAAGCAGATTGCTCATCAGCCTGGACGGAGTAAACACAACCCATCCCGACACAACAGACTGAGCACGAACTTACGAGCGGAACCAATTTGTTTAGTGGCAAGATCTCCTCTTCTGTGAACGAACACGAAGAAAATAAGGATTACTTTTATAAAGAGATCCGTCGGGACACTCACATCCTATATCGCATTCCAAACTGGGTGATTTACCTCCAGTGAAGCAACAAAACAAAGAAAATGCTATTGACATCCGTGTCCGAAGTATAACTATCGCATAGCGGTTGACGTAGCTCGAATTCACTGTAATCCCTCTCCATTAGCATTACACACCAAGTTCCGTAAAACCATAGTGCAAATAAAAGACCCAACTGGAGATGGCCATGTAATGACGTGGTCATTTCTCAGTCTTTTCAGTCACCTAAATGCTATGGGTGCTAGGCACAGGAAGGGCAAGGTGGTGCGTGAGTAATCGATGATCTAGCGGTGGCTGATTGGCGCTTCAAGCATAACTTCACTGTCGTTTTATTCTTATCCTCAGAGACCGGAGCCTGCGATCGAATGCCGTGGGACTCTTGAATGCGCACGAAAACACGACCACTGCTCATGTGTTTACTGAAAACACCAATGTCGAAGCAATGCAGGTCCTACTGTTTACACATGCAACTGTAGAAATAGGTACGTGGACGGGCTGCTCGAACTCCGAGTGTCCGATTCGACTAGCACAGTAAAGTGCTTAAGCAAACAAATGAAAACCCTGGCGGCTGAACCAGGTGAATCGCGAAACGGGGCTCACTCAAGCCTCACGTGGCAGGTACTGAACAGTGGTCACCAAATCAATCCAGATCCATCACTCACGGTCCTCATGGGCAATCCAAGTTCCTAAATCCTCAAGTTCCTTGCGAGCTTCGTTATCGGACGCATTGTTATGTAGACAAAACAGTTGAGTGTAACACTGAGCTCACAATGGTAACGCGAAGCGCCAAGCGGCCACCGGTCGGCTATCAATTGATCACACCAGACCTGTTCATTCATGTGCATATCATATACCACGTGTATTTGGTTAGTAGGGCTGCAAGAAATGACGGCGTCCCACCAGCCTGCGTCTCCTGCTATTCTTACATGGAATAATAAAGGAAAATCTTTGTTTCCGAAAGCACTCATCCGTTTGTTACCAGTTAAATAACTGCCAGTTGCAGGGCGTCAAGTTGATGGTCATTATTCCTTTGTTTAAGCTCCTTGAGGTCCATTTTGGTTAAGATGCTAATCCGGATTGGGATAGAAGTCAAAACTCCACCACTAAACTTACTGCTCCGAAGGAACTAGCGTTACAACATGATTTCCATCTAACTTTGCAACCCAACAACGCCTGTGGCCAGTAGATTCCGTGGGGAAAACAACCCACAAAAATCATTGATAAAAAGAGGGTACAAAATACATAATTATCATGGAAAAATGTAGTTTGCTTAGCCGGATGGCTCTTAATGACCACAGAACCGACAACAAAAGCAGCGTTCGACTTGTAAGGTCGGGGTATTAATACAATAGTGATGGGCACGAAAGCTGGTTGCCGTATGGCACAGAACGCGGACAGGATATACACCTTGTTTTCATTGCGAGGCGTACAGGAACACCACCGCGTAGGTCTGACCAGGTTGCGAAGCTAGAGGTAATTAAGACCTCCTTAGCGTCAAGCGGTAAATTTCTGCAGCATCACTTGTTTAGCGGTTGCATTGAACACAAGAATGACAGGCGAATCTGATAGCGGTCACATGCACTTTTAGGGT